GTAAGTCCTGAGATCGTTCAAATGCCATCACTTCATCACCTTCCGTAACTGTTTGCCCATTGTACCCGGGCATTGTACCCGGGCATTGTACCCGGGCGACGGACATGTACGTGGTGATTTTTTTTGATTTTTTTTTACTACAAAGCACTGGCCAGCAACATAAAAGGGGAGGTAGACAAAAGTGGACAAGCGAACTTTGACAACACAGAGGAGCGTGGCATGCGTGCCGATGAGGTAGGTCAACCTCCTCTGATGATTGCAAGGGTGCTATTCGGAGTATTCCAGACAGATAATAATAATAATAATATCTTTATTAGGATGACCCAGAGGCTTGTCGCCTATCAAGGGGTTCACCGCTTTGAAGGATGTACATGTACACGTATGAGCTAAAGTGAAAGTAGTGAAAAGTTGTGCAGCGTGAATGCATTGGGGAGCACACGGGGAGGGGGGGGGGGTTATGTACATGGCGTAGGCATACCGGAGAGCGAAGCACTATGTTTGCAAGTGAGTTTGCGAAGCTCAGTCTGGAAAACAATAATGGATGGTTCTGCAGTTAGTCTTGGTGGGAGGCAGTTCCATAAGAGGGAGGTTTGGAAGAGAAACAACGATTTTGATGTGGTCTTTGCTTTAGGGAGAATAATTTTGTTAGGGCGTCTCGCACTCTGCGTGATATTGAAATGGAATGAAGCTAGGGGGGGAAGACCCGTAACCAAGAGTAAAATGGTTAACTTGGCTATACAACCTGTACTGATATCACCGGTCACTCTTTGCAAGTGTACTGATAATTATGATGCAGCTAATCAGTGGTATGGGTGTATCTTGGGTCGAAATCCAGGCAAGACGACGGATAGTGTACAGCCAGTCATGTACATGCTTTTAGTTTGACAGCATAATTATTATTCGTCATGTACATTATGTCATTATGTCATTGTACACTGTACATGTTTGACGCCCAACCCTCACGCTACACAGATGTAGCTGGGGTTGTTAGTTCTGCCCCCCAAACGTCATATTCTGCACAAGTAGTTAAACCGTCCTTGACTAGTTGGAACGCTGGAACGGGTCGGGTTGGCTTGATCTCATTGGAACTACGTGTAACTACATGTAAAGTTGAAGCCATTGCTCAACTCTTGGCATGTGGTTTTGGAAAGTACGGAAATGCTTGCCTCACTCACTGACATCTGTAGGCCGTACTGAAGTTGGACATTGCATGGCAGGCAGAGTACATTCATGTCATGACATGACAGAGCTTGCATGACAACACCTACGACTAGTCACGCAACCTCTTTATAGCCATTCCTACCATAGAGCCCTTGACCTTGCCCCATTCCATTGACTTTGTGTACACTTTAGGGCTTGACCCGTGTACACGCCGCGAGATTTCTCAGTCGCATCATTGCAATACCTACCTTAGCATAATTCTCTTGTGATCCTAAACACTACATTGTAGCATAATTAAAATGTGTGCCCACTTTTAGGCATTAGGCACCACACCACCGCCGTTCTCTCTAGGGCCCCTCCCCGTTATTAGTCCATTGATTTAGCCTTTCTCTAGCGCAATTTTAACGAGGCCTCCTTTCCTTGAAACCAGGTCCCTCCATGCAGCTTGCTTGTATCATGACAGCAGTGCAGGAGGACGCCACGGCGTGTATGGACTATGAGTATGGTGTGTTCCTGCACTGCATCATACGTCATTCATTTTTATTTTACATCAGAACTTTGACAGAAGCTCAACAACAGTGTGCATGTGCTCGCCGTTCTTGTAAACCGGCACAGTTGAAATGTTTTGGAATCTCGCGACATGTCCACGGAGTGATAGGAAGCACTGAAAGGTTCCTGGGACACAACCCAATCCTTAGCCTAGGTGATCGGAGCTCTCCAAGGGATAGCATGGCTGTGGGAAACACAATCCGGTCCCGTGAGTGAAGCAGAGCAGCGCGCATTGCATATCCTACACCGTCTTTTAGCTACAGTACAGTCATGTACACTCAATCTGCGGACAGTCATGTACATGTATGTAATTCACGAGGCTGGATTTCAATGTACATGTACCGGCACATGTAGCTACATACACTGACATCTTAGATGGTGGCATAATGACAATGTCCACATACCTGTACATGCAGATGAAATCTTCAAGAGGAGATAGCACCGTGGTAAACATGGAGCATGACATGGCATGATAAGCCAGCAATGCAGTCTTCCATCCGTCATCCAGCACGAAGCTAGGACTCCGGAGTCCAGACTCAAGAACCGGGGAGCCTATTGGGGACGGACAATGCCTACAATCGTATCATCAAGCATACATGTACGCGCCAGTGAGGTGAAGTTCTAAAAGTGTCTTTTTGCTCCACATCACTCGTTTCCATGGCAATTTCTACCTTGAGATATTAGAGCCTAGAGGGGTAGATCGATCCCATCATCTGATCATAATTATTATCCAGTCATTGCCGGCTACCAAGTAGATCTATCAAGACTATCATGCGCTGCAGCGTCGCAGCATTAAACAGTGCAAATGTGCACGCGTAGTACTGCTGTCCACATAGCTGTCTGATTTGTCAAGTGTCCTTGATCTACGAGCGTCCAGCACCGGGTTAGTGCATGCGTTACTCCTCAATATTCTATCGCTAATATCGTAATAAGCAGTCCGTAGAAGACGACTGAAGAGTCCTGCCAGTGACTACACTTGCACCGGCTATACTTGAAGTACACCGTCACGTACATGTATAAACAGTGGAGCTCTCCCTGGTGATAGTCATAGACTCATAATGAGGCGACTACGATGTACAATGTACAATGAACATGATTCTTCACTATCAATCTGGAACAAGAATAACGATAAGATTCATGCAGGCCGGGGCTGTATACAAAGGAAGGTAGACTTCTCGGCGTCGGCGACAGTTAGGCCCGTCTTTCATCTCGGCTCGCCTAAAGCAAGGGTGTTCACCAGGCCAACGTCACCAAGGATGCCCATGGACGTTCGCCGGATGCTCTCTCGTCGGCGCACGAAAGGTCACAGAGTTCTCCTAGACTTTTGAGTTTTGACAATGAAAGAGAGAAAGACTACACAGTCCTCTCCACGACGCTTCGTGTGCTACCATCTGGTTCAACCACGTGCAAGTAGTAATATCACGACCATTGTTCGCTTGCCAAACACGTGACCACCAACCTACAGCCTAGGCTACATACATGATTGTAGATCTACCTTCATACAGTGTCAGTGTCAGTGTGTCAATCTTTCATTTTTGTACCTGGTAAGTGGTAGTTGTGATACAGTGTTCCTGCGAGATGTTTTGTCACACAGGTGCCAGGTTAGTCACACGGATTATCCATTGGCGCTACACGTACAGCGTGATGGGCATTGCTGTTTTGACTCCGTCCGACTGCGCTGCAGTCTCCGCATGCGCAGTGCAGTCCTCCTCCTCCTCTTTGTGCTCACATGATTTACGAACATGGATTGCATCATAATTATGTAGATCTACATGACATTGTATGACCAGCTACCACTACTAGTGCACAATAGAATTATTAGTATTACACAGTCCACACAGCTGTCCATGCACACAGACTCAGTGCTCAATACCGCAAAGAGCAGAGCTTCCTCAGCGTTCCCTGTTGGGTGCTTTGTGTACTGTGTAATTTTGACAATGCCTAATGATCAACAAGCAATCCACGCGTGGTCATCCATTTTATCACACTCGCAGATCCGGAGTTTACAGTGGCCTATTCCCTAGTTATATGTATGCTATGACAACATTGGGCATTTTTGCTACCTACATACATACATAAGAAAGGTTTGCTCCCCACACCGGAGCTCGCAACCACTACTTCGTACATACATACATGACTATTGTATTGACACTTCTAATTGTATGCGACTACGAGGCAGTAGAATCTCCGACCTCATGGCCTCAGTCCAGGCACACCTTGGTCGTTGCAAAGCAAGCATTGATTAGTTGTAGTGATTACCGGTTGGTCTACGGCTTTGTACAATAATTGTAGATTCTACTCTGTCCCCATTGAAGGCATAGACTGGCCTCTACCAGTGCCAGATGAGCTTTCTTTGCAGTCAGCATACACGTCTGCACTCTGTCGAACTCTAGTCTAGGATGGCGTGGCCTAGCGCCACAAACTCGAGGCTCAACCTGACAAAGCCACAGCTTGTCATCTTCAGCCCGCAACAGTACAGCTGCTGTCCGATTTCCAGCGCGTGCACCCATCATTAGCGGACGAGCGCTGAGCTCGGTGGTCGTCGAGTGGAATGACTGACAGAGTGCGTTGCTGCTTTCGGATTTTCTCGGCGCTACAAAACAGGCAAGTCGAATTGCGCTCTCACGGGCGGTGAAAAGAAAACTGCATACAGCTTCGGATTGTGAGAAGAGGCGCAGTGCTTCGCTCTGCAAACTAACCGAGAGAAGTCGTCGAAAGAAGTGAGCTGAGAGGATCTTGGCTAAGAAGTAACTGACTTGCGGACTGCGGACTTCATTCAGACAAACGGTAAGTTTGAATAGGAATTAGGATGCTGAGCCTCTCGGCACAGGTAACAGCGTAGGCGTCTTCGATAGCCTCAGGTCTCTGTCGAATGGATCATCATTTCCGCTCCTTGCCCAATGCCGGCTGTGTTGTGTGAGGTGGAGCTTGTTCGAGTGTTCCGCTTTTTGCCGACTACCTGTCCACCACGCTCCATGGCAAATTCATCTGGGGAGAAGGATCAGTGGCCGAGCAGCTCGAGTCGTGTGACAATGAGTTTACCCTGTTGGTCAGCGGGGTGGTGGAGTGCGCACCACCGTCACAGAGTGAAATCCTCCTGAGACCTATCCCGTGGGACGGCACCATGTGCGCGCCTGTCCGCGAATTTGTGCGTATTTGTGTTTGCGCAGTGTGCAGGCAATTATTTTCAAACTTGTCACGCTTCGTGGCGAATACACCCTGCTGATCGCAATTGCCTCTGACGGACTCTCCTCGTTTTTAGGTTGCATCTGGCTGAGCAATTATAAGTGTGGTATGCTGTGTGGACGGCCAAAATGGGCGAGAGCTTTCATCCATCCACTGATCAAGTCCAACAAGCTATAGTTTGACAAGATAAAAGCGAGCAACCGCGAACTTATCTTTCAGTTGCCCCAATGTTACCCGAGCAATACAAATCAGTTTGTCCTCCATTGTCAATTCTTATTGTGTGCTGTTGTTCTTGCTGGCGAAGATGATGAACTCGCAGCAGTCGCCTCCACTGCAGACCACTTTGCCATGGCCTGGTACGATCCGTTGCGTCCAATTCGACAAGCAACCTCCGCCCACCGTGCGCAAGAGCAACTTCTTCAGCTTCACCGTTCAGCTGCACGATGGCGGGGGACAGAGACTTCGCGTTCGCACTGCCAAGTTCATTGACTTTCTGACGGTCGACTGGCCAGCACCGCCTATGTCTGAAACGAGCGAGCAGAGCACGAGGCCACGACCGTCATCTCGCCGCAACAGCAGGACTGTGAAACAAGAGAACGCGCGCATGCATGTGAGTAACGTGTGATGATCTGGAAATTCAGTTCGTAGACAAACACGGTTTACGTGGGCCAACCGCTATCCAACTCTCTGACTCAGTTCAGTCTTCTTGATCCGGAAAATGTGTAAACCTGCCCTGCTGGTTGACCGAAATCAGAGGACGTTTTTGATTGTTAATTCCTGTGCAATATCCCTGTCAGAGGTTGCTTCCGAATGCCTGTCAAGAAAATGAATTGATGCATGGACTTCGATAGGCTGAGAGGTACAGCAGGGCGGCCCCATACCAGGACGTACTCAACCCCCTTCATGATACAATGCAAGGAAAACCTTTGATGAATAACGCACTACATCCTCATGATGAAACTGCTACCCATTTTCTAATTTTGTAGAAAATCTTAGTTTAGTTACCAGTCCAAGGCAGTTCTACTATTGAGCAGGTGTTCATGACCGAGTCAATATACAATTGAATGTGTAAAGTTTAGCAAACACCTAGGAAGTCGTTGAACTTAGAATAGAATCAGCCTTTTCCGATGTAGCCTTTGAACACAGATACGCAGTTTCTTGCGCAAGGAACACCTCCACCCCAAGAAGAAATGCCACACTTTGCCTTAGTTCATTCAAAAAGAAGTCAAAAAAATTGACTTGGTGAGGTGTGAAGTGATCCAGGCCGGATTCTATCCATATTGACGTTCATGCACATGTACATGTATGCTGTGTGCACTGACTGGACAGGTTGTATAATACATGTATCCGTATTGATGTGCATGCTCACTACCTGCACAGGACCACCCTGCAGCAGCGTTCTCCTCAGTACCCAGTGTACAGGCAGGCACACCGGTGACAGGCGACGGCCCACCACCGGGACTCTTCTCACAGCACAGCGGCTATGCTGATCCGTCGACGGCAGCCGCCAGTAACGCTGGCAACGGCAAGCAGCTGCAGAACGGTGCATCTCCGCCTACAGCGGCAACTCCAGTTACGGCAAACCATGCCGTCTTCCTGCCGCCGAAAAGCAACGGCATCGAGTATGAAGTTGAGCTAGAACACCCACATGGTAAGACCCTGTATCCTGTAGTCTGTATGCCTTCAAGGGAATGTGTGTTAGTTGTAGTTTACTTAACAGACACATCATGTATGTAGTGAAGTGGTCAGATTTGTACATCGGTTGTTCGAACGGCATGGTAGTGCTGTACGACATGAGCAGAATCGTGCCACAATGCAGTAGTGACTTCAGTTGTGCTCTGCATCATGGTAAACCATGGTACGCACCACTATGACAAACTGGACTTGTCAATACATGGAAAATTAGCTGTCAAATATCTCTAGTCAAACAAGGGGCTGTATCTGCATGTGCGGCATCTCATACCAAGCTGGGGATGAAGTTGCTCAAATATTGCAGCAGTGGCTAATACTTCACTTTGTCAAAGTACATTAGGCAGGAAGAACGGGCCTGGGAATCTTTGATTCACATGTGAGTGCATGCACTATGATCCCAAAGAACCGGCTTAGTTGTTGTGAAGGTAATGGGTGCACATGTGCTTGGTGGCAAGCTGCGACACACACACACACACACACACACACACACACACGCGCACGCAGGTGTGCATGTGCGGAAAGGTTTTAGGCAAAAGCGTGGGAGTGAGCAGCAGCGCGGTTCTGTAGGTGGCAGATGACTTTAGTGTTGGTGGCGGTCATTATACCAGCTGCATAGAGCGTTTCTCAGCCTTCTTACAATAGCTGCTTAGGTAAAAACATAGTGTATGTATGTCCGCAGGGCTTTACAGAAGACATGGACATGTGGTTAAGGTGCGGAAGAGTTGCTTGCCAAGTGTCCATTGCTACTTGAACAGAAAACAGCAGGGGGAGCTTAGGAGAGGTTTTTGCGCGAACACTGATACGTTTGGCGCGTCCCCGGGGAGGGTTTCTACTGGTTGCTGGCACGGACAGGCTTGCTGTCATGCGCTTTATTCTACAGCAATTGCCCAGTTTACAGCTAGAATGCACACATGCACACTTAGACTACACATGCTGGTCCGTTGGTGTGCAATGGGTGCTGCATGGTAGGTCAGATGCACTGGACAGTGGTGCTTGGCTGGGCCTGCCAGACAAGGTCCATTCTCTGTGCAGCGTGCGGCCATCACCAGGTGTCCAACACGTCCAAAGCCGACAAACGAGCATGGCTTGACAGCTGTAGGGCTGGACGCACACACAGGTTGACAGCTTCGGCACTGCTCGACGAGAGTCTCGTTTGTCGGCCGAGTTTTAATCGAGAACATAGCTCCTCGGCCACCCGTGGAGAAAGGAGGGCCAAGGAGCATTAGTCCACTAAAATGGTAATGCCAGCGGAAAGGACAGATCTACAACATTCCAAGTGCTGGAACAGTTACTCCCTGGTTGATCAGCTCGGACTGAAGACCCCCGACTAATCCCCGCAGGACACAAAGTTCCACTTGTCACCGAGTCAGGATGAGAGGAGACAGGAATAAACAGTACAACATGTTCTGCTCAGTCTAAGCTATGCTGTGGATTAGCACCAAAGTTATAGGAGAGCGTGAGCCAGTTGAGACTTATTCGGTGTCTTACAACATTCCCCGGAATTGATCTAGCACGGTGCGAACAGTAGTTGTTGGTAAAATTAAGAACACCGTGCCGCGCTAGTTTATCTCTTTGCACTCCTGAGGCCACTTTCCCAGGATTCATTGCACAGCGTGGAGTGCGGTGCTGACATTTAACTGGCCTGGGTGTCAGGTTTCAGCATGCATTTGACAACACTGTAGCGGAGATAAGCCAGTGTGCCCATCCATTCAGAACACGAGCCATGGCAACGCATAGTGTACTGGCGTTGCCTTTGCTCGTGAAGAATGCAGGCCTCCACGCCCTAGGCTACTAGCACACTACAATGGCTGTAGGAAGGTACAGGAAGGCTGCTATCATGTCTGATTCAAACAACAAGACATGACGTTCCACCACTGAACACAACATTCTTATTGAATGACAAGTAAACAATGCAAACTCTATTAGCAGTTAGGAATGCCCGGGACGGTATTTCACACCTTGTTCTTGCCTTGAAAGCATTGCTGAGACAGCAATCATGAACTACTTTCCCAGGTCGGATCAGGATACCTCAAACACTTTAGTAATAGTAGTGATGGGACTTTCCCCAGGAGAACATTGTCGCAGCGGTGATGAATTCTCCTCTGCACCATGGAGGCAAAGCATTACAGGAATGCTTGCTTTGTTTACAAAAAAACAACAACAATCATGTAGCAGATCCCGTCTTGACACTACTCCCAGCAGTAATTTGAAACAGTATTGCATCTGAAGCCGAAGAACCCCAATACACAGGTGTTGTCATGAATTCCACTCATTCTCCCACCGCTCACAAAGCATGCATGGGTGAAGGTCAATACTCTATCTGGCGGTTCTCATTTGAAAGAAGCTGGGCCAGTGAGTGGTATGCAATGTAATACCCAGCGGTAACACAGCAATGTACATTTCATTTTGTGGCACTGAGCAGCAATGAATGTGCTCACAGCAAGCCGCAACAGGCAACCATCAATGGTAACACTCCATTTAGACCTAGATCTTAGTACGGTAGCGTGAATATCACTACTAGATTGTACGGTAGCGTGAATATCACTGTTACGCTACACATTCCTTTCCATTGTATTGGGGACAGTGTTGATCATGACCAATGATTATGTGAGTACATAATGCATTCATTGTGCCGGAATACCTGTACACGTCATGTACATTGTCTCTGTGCGATGAATGACCTGCTGGAACATGATATCTATTGTTATTGATAGCAGCTAGTCAGTCTTGTCACAATGCTGTTGGCCCGTGTTTCCATGGTGTGCAGCACACCATGGCAATGGCTGGACCGATATCACGGATGGCCTTATGCGCTTGTAGATAGGGCACTATACACAGTGGGCTGCTTCAATGTAGCTGTACAAACTCGTGCCTTGCAGGTGTCTGCGGGCACTTGTTTCTGTTATCATTGAATCAAGGACGATGTTTCAGTGATGCATGTGATGCATGTCAGCGGGTACCCAGCTTGAATGGCTGGCTCACTGTAGGTCTTGTGGAGTTACTCGGCTACATCTGTTGGAGAAGTAGAACCGGGTATTTTATGAAATCAAGTGATCCCTAGTGGCTAACTAGTACATATAACACTGTGCTAATGTGCTGCCCGCTTCTGCTCGTGTGTTTTCTGTGCAGGACGGATTGTAAGAGAGCGTCTGTACCTGTGCCTTGTGGATAACCGTAACTTTGAGGTGAGCCGGTCACAGTGGATGTTGTGGCTTCACATGCAAGAGAAGGCGATGGCATGTGAAGTAGCATGTGCAGCTATGCCTGCAGCTATGCACTCAACGTACTGGTCACAGAATGGCAGAAATGTGCCTGCAAAGCATTCAGCTTGCACAAAACATCTAGAGTATGGCTGGATGTACGTGTAGCTTGGTCAGTAAGATAGCTATGCTTATGGAATAGCTATGCCTATGGAATGGTTGTGAGCTACAGCAGGCTGTCTCTGTTGTCTGGTCCTCTCGTACACGTAGGTCGTTCACTATGAAGGACAGGATCGCAATCCGGAAATGCGCCGCGTTCTCCTAACCCATGAAGTGACATGCAGGTCAGTTCCCGAAACCCACGTGAATGGCACAGTAAGCATGTGCAATGATAGCTTTTGTTTGATGTAGGGTCCAGCATCATTCTAAGACTTCACACACTCTAATGCAGCACAATAGCTAGTTTCCACAGTAACACTGCACAGTCTCTGCATGTTTTGTGTCCCTGGTTCAAGTCCTGGTGGTGACAGGAAATTTTTTTCTTGAGACTTTTTCCATTTGCGTCCTTCCCTCAAACCAATGAATAGGATCTGTATTCGGACTTTTTCCTACCTTACCAAATTTTCAAGGATGACCTATAATATATTATGTATCTTCAAGGTGAAACAGTATAGAAAAGAAAAAGGACCAAGGAACTTCAAGTTACGCTATAACGTCCACTAACATCACCAGTTACTAAACAATCAGCTCATGCGATAACATTGCACGACACTGACCGAAGGTACTGACATTCTACAACTAATTGGCTAACAGCTCTAGCACATCCAGGATGCGCACTCCAAGGAATGCGTAGTTCCTTGGTCCTTTTCTTTTCAGTATAAATTTATCCTTGGCTCTCCATCCGAGTTCATTCTGAAACAGTATAATTTTGCTATCCAGCGGCTTTTTAGCAAAAACCTGCATACCTGCTTCAGCACATCCAAGATCTGATACCAGTGAAGACACATAAGCCAGTGATGGGTGAACAGAATCATGGTGCTGTGCCGGGGCTCATTGAACAGGTGCCAGCTTTTCTGTGTTTTGCGGCTTTGTCACCTTGCAGCCGATGCAGCAACAATGCTACCGGATGCGGAAACAAGACGGCAGCACCTTCTGACCCCACCATCCACAAGGAAAATGGAGAGTGAGTACCGTGTGAATCTGGCATCCCAAACAGACATAGCACACGTGCATAATCACCTATACCGGCGATCGTTCACAAATGCAATTCATAGTACATGATGATATGCTTGCGACCAGGCTGCTGGCTCTTTGCCTTTGGGCTCTCCATGTGTTCATTCTCTTACATTTGTGATATAGAAATAACATTTTGACAACAAGTTTCTGATCACCATGCGGCCCGTTGAAATTGTATCCCATTTGTCCAGGTGCAGTCTGATATTCTATGTCAAGTGCAACCAGAACTGCCTGCGCACACCCGGAAGCCCTAAGCAAGGACGTCGATTCAAGGTACATTTACACTGCAGAGATCCTAATTACATTCCGATGATTGTGTTGCACAAGACAAATCAATGGAATAGACACCCGGCAATTTCAAGCTTCTATGTTACAGGTCAATTCAGGGTGTACATGCAAGTGAGAGCAGTCTCAGCAGTTGCCTTATGCAGAATAGTCATGCTGTGCACCATCAACACGAGTACATTTCAGATCGGAGTTGAGTTCATCTATCCTCGATGAAGATGATGGATGGATTTACAATTTATTCTCTCGTAGATGGGGGTTTAGCTCAGTGGTAGAGCGCTCGCTTTGCATGCGAGAGGCCATGGGTTCGAACCCCATATCCTCCACTTTTTTTCATATTTTACTCTATTTAAAAAAAAACTTTTGCTACCCAAAAAGAGCAAAAGAAATGTCCTCCCCGGCCGGGAATCGAACCCGGGTCTTCCGCGTGACAGGCGGAGATACTTACCACTATACTACCGAGGATTGACTGGCATCATAGGCCACTCTAAGCGTTCTTGAGAACACACAAAAGAATGATGATGGTGGCCGTTTTGAACTTTTCTTTCCTCACAGCTCATGCTCAGCACTGGACAAAACTCCACAGAGGCTCAGAATCACCAGCTCGGTATCTCCGAGGAAATATTTGTTCATAACAACTCCAAGCATGGCCGTCCCGTGGTCGCCAAGCAGTCGCCATCCAGCAATGCCGTGGCCGACAGTGAGGAAAACCGTATGCATTGCACGGTGAAATTGATAGAATGCATACTGCGGCAGGCTTTGGCACTGTTGCTCTGATTACTGTTTGTCTAGCTCATACATGCTTGGTGTATCGTGTTACGCAGTGTGATGCGTTAGCTTACTTTAGTCAGGTGCGAGCTGAGTGCTTATTTTTTTACTACCCTTGTGAACGTACCAATCGATTCCGTGGCTGCAAGAGAAGCCAGTCTGTCTTCGAGCACAAGTAGGATGAACTACATGAAAGGAGGTCTATGATCATGATCATCCCGGCTAAGATTGTGGTATACAAACAACAATGGAATGTACTGTGACAACTCCAAAAGCATCATATTCTCTTACCGACTTGCCCGGGGAGACTCTTCAAAGCCAGAGAGAGAGTTGGTTGATGATTCCGCAGGGCAATGTCTGCATAAGCCATCACTCTACACAGAATTTGGATGCAGACATTCGAGTTTGCCCTGTCATTAGCAACTTGAACCCTTTGTTGCAGTGCTCCCGAAGACTTCTACGTCACAGCAAATACAAACACAGTCTACAAATACAACCATTGAGCAGCTTATCATAGTCTTTGGAGATTCAACTTGTGTGTCACGTCTGCAGAAAGGACGTACGTTACGTTGATTGTGTTGCGGTGGCTGCATTCTTTACCATCACTATCATGTCTTTGATTTCTTTCCTCCTGGCAGGTACGTGTGGGGCGTCACAAGCTGGATCCAACACTGGGACTGGAGAACATTCTCCTGATGGTAAGTTTTTTTAAAGCAGTCCCACGATAGAAGTGTAATTTCTACCCCGGGATCTATCAGTTTGCATTGAAATGCATGACACAAAGCATCCTAGACCTAGTGGACATGCCCAAGCTGCCTCTGATTGACTTATGACCGTGTAATACATTCAGTTTTAGACTGGTCTTTGATCAGCCTGTTGCTGCGGTGGTGTTACTGTTCTGTGTGTGCAGCCAATGTTCCCAGCATAGCGCTGGTATGGCCAAAGGAAGGCTGGACAAGCGGCGGACAGAGGGTTGCCATTATCGGCGAAAACTTCACAAAGACCATGCAAGTTGTGTTTGGTCATCATCATCTTGAAGCAGAGGTAAGCCCAAGTACAGATCCCAGTTACCTGATACCTATTACCTGCTACCTGACTGGATGTCAACTGACCTGTATTCGTCACTGCATGCATCAGACATTGTACTGAAAGATGTGGATGGATGGCTGTAGTTGACTCGTCGGGTGTGCTTGTGTTTGTGTGTGTATGTGTGTGTATGTGTGTGTATGTGTGTGTGTGTGTGTGTGTGTGTGTGTGTGTGTGTGTGTGTGTGTGTGCGTGCATGCGTGTGTGTTCTTGTGTGTGTGTGTGTGTGTGTGTGTGTGTGTGTGTGTGTGTGTGTGTGTGTGTGTGTGTGTGTGTGCACATGCACGTGTGGGAACAACTGCGCTTGTTCGCCACTCAGATGTACAACAGTCGTATTCTGCTGGTGAACACACCCTCTGTGATTCAAGAGGGCAAGGTGGAGATCACACTGATGCAGAGACAGGGTAACAAAGTCAAACAAAGCTGCACCACACAGCCAGGACACTTCCACTATGTGGGTAAGAAAACCATTGCCAAAGTGACAAGTCATGGACACTCTTCTACATTAAGACACAGCCTTTGCAGGGTCGTAGCTTGCTTGAAACGGCAGAGGGACGGCTGGGCGGTTTGTGTATAGCTCTACAAATCTGCAGCGGTAATGTAGGTCCCTTATTGTAATTTCTACTCCACTGACAGCAGTGAGTCAGCACAGTAGTCTAGTCCTTGATGTCCACACACACACACACAGTGCATCTTTCATAGGGATGTTGGTAAGTCAAATCATGCATTGGATTAGGGCAAGGTCGATTTTGAAAAAGGGGCGGCCACGACGTGAAGGGGGAGAGGAGGAGTGGAGCAGGGGGTGGGGATTGCGCCTCATGCTGTTGCTTTGGCTACATCTCTGCCTTGAAACACAACCACTCAACATTCACTTTTCAATTCCACTGTACAGTACCTATAATGCCCCCGGTGTGAATGGACGTTTTCATTCAAGCACAAACTATCTAAGTTATATTACGATGCGTTCGTGCATTGTGTCCACGCGTTGGTGTTTTTTTGGTCACGTAGAGCCCGCACCAAACATGGAGTGCGTCACTGATCGACTCCGTGCAGCGCTGTCACTTCCCATCCACACGGTCGTCACAACGGTGAGCTATAAGACCGCGGAGTGGGACTGCGGACGACCGGCTTCAGGGCACTGCTTGGCAAATCAGAGCCCTGGACAATCTAGTTACACCCATGCATGCATCCTTATCCCTGGTGCATGCATGCATGTTCTTCTCGTATATCACAGTTTCAGAGATGTCAAATCTATCAATAAAGTGTGTAATGGCTGCCGAGGGTAGCCATTTCGGCTGAGAGCGCATGGAGGAGAAGAGAAGGAGAGATTGTTGCAGTATATGTCAAATCTACTTTGGAGTAGGAAATTTGTATCATCAAGGTGATTTGAACGAGAGTATCTGTTGAATTTTTCACAATCCACACTTCATGCGTATACGGTATACTGTGGCAGCTAGGACTCACCGGAGTGGCCTGGTTCTTTGGGTTTGCCTGCTTTTCTTCAGGAGGACATCTTCTCATTGCTGAATGAGCGGCTGACAACCCCTGGAGTGTGTATGCACTGCCAAACACCAACCAATCTTCCTCCCGAGCCGCGATGGCCAGCACCAAGAGTAAGCAGGGATAACAAGCAAAACACCACACATGGACAGACACACGCACACACATGTACATACACACACCATTGGACCATTGGACGCCCATCGCCGGAGGCGATGATAGCGATGCTACTGCAGAAGCCATAGCAACTTGTGCTGGGATTGCACCATTCAACAGCTTGCAAGGCTGAAGAATTGGCCGCCACTATTCAGCCTGGTCTACACCACACAGCTATGAAGTGGCTTTTTCTGGCCAGTGAATCCCTACTTTTTGGTCTTTTTTTCTTTTTCTTTTTCCCGCACACACATCATACCACATACTCCGGCATGCACTGGCTGTTGGTAACCACCCAGGAGAATGAAAGAAAAGACAGGAAGAGTCTGAGAAAGAGAAGAAAGACGTGTGTGACCATAATCGTCGGGAATCGAACCCGCAACCTATCGATTGGAAATCGCTGCACATACCACTGCACCATATGGGACACACACACACACACACACACACACACACACACACACACACACACACACACACACACACACACACACACACACACACACACACACACACACTACTAATACTAGCAGCATGACTGCCCAGATGGGCAAGTCACACACACACACACACACATGCACACACGCATCCACGCAGACAGACATACAGACAGACATACACACATAACTATTCGATGCCAAAGCATAGGGTAGGCAACTGTAGCCACTCTCATAACTGCTTATGTGCTTTGTCTCTCTGTCAAACACTACAGGCAACGAAGAGATCTCACAGTCAGCTGACGTCCCATCACTCAGTGTCAAGTGATGCTCTCTCACCATCTAAGTGTCGCCCGGCACCGTTAGTAATACCAGATTCGGCTACCAACCACCTGGGTCCGGAGCAGCCAGACTTCCCGCCGATGCTCAGCACTTCGAACGCGTCCGGTATGCCAAGTACACATTCGGTAAGGAGAACACTAGTCGCCTTAGCGATTCCCTCTAAATAGTGGACAATGGTTGGTTTCAATGGCATAGAGGTCATTTGCTCTGTGAACTTTGCCATGCAATATAATCCATTCATCCTTCCACGTCTCGAGTGATAGTGCTCTTCCTCCTTTGAACACTGTATGTGCTCATTAAAGAGAATAATTATTAATTTTTTATGTACTGGAGCATACTAGGAGATAAAAACGCTGAAGTTCAACTGAGATGTCGGTTTGTGTTCGCTTATTCCAATACAGTGGGCACGGCCTAGCAGCTTCAGAAGTAGCGACCACCTACAGTCAGGTCGAGCCAGCAGTATGAGCGCTCAGGCAAGCGGCCAGGCATCGTTCTTCGGTGCCGATCCGACGTACAGTGAATCCACCGGTGGTGGTGGAGGTGGTGGTGGTGGAGGTGGTGGTCACAACCGGGCTGCCAGCATGGGTAGTGCTGGTCCTGGAATGATGATGACGACGGAGAACAGCATGCATGGCAGCCACCCTAGCTCGCCGTCACCAGACTGCTTGGAACGTAAGCAAGCGTTGTATCTCGGATTTGTATCTATTTAAAGTGGCAACCAGAGAGAACAGGCATATGGCATAATGACAATGACACCATTCTGGAGAAGCGAATGAAGAGGAGATGACTAAACAAGTGCAGAGCAAGATTCACAGATTTGATGCAGCCTTGGCACATAGCCACGCAACGGTGTTTTTGCAAAGGCTTTGAAGTACACGCATGAGCTTTGTTTCCTGTAGTCAGAATCTACCATGCATGACAAGGACGCACTGGGGATGTTCGAGTAGATGCAGTTCCCCGCTCTAAGAGATGGAGTCGCATACCAGTCTTTCAGAAGTTCTGATCAGCCTGTGTCAGTAAACGTGCAAACACCATGGCACAATCTGGAAAGCACTCTATACTGATAAACAAAGCAATGATTGAACCTGTCCATGCCTGACACGTTATGATCCTTCATACCGGTATGCGCTCGACACTATGAACCGTGACTCCATCTCTGTGTGCAGGGGTATGCATGCATGTGTCTATTTGCTTAATAGCGTGTCCTTGTTGTGTATTGTAGATGTGCAGCCTAGTCCACTGCAGCCCTAACAAGATGCCAGTGCCACTCACTGTATAACCGTACAATATGGAGAACTGGTCCATGTGCACATACAGGGGCGCCGTAGAACACTTCGCCGACGAACACTTAGGCTGGAGAATGACACGAATTGAAGAACAATCCAGGCTAGATCTGCAGATCTAAGAACACCTGTACTGCTTTATACATGGTGTGATTGCATCGCATGGTGCTCTCCATGATCGCGGAATAAGAACAAAACGACTATAATCTGAAATTTTTTAGAACAATGCCAGGCTGCGCCTTGAGCCCGGGCCCTCCGGTCTACGGCGCCCGGTTTTACTGTAGTCCGTGCATGCAGTGTCTGGATTCAATGCATGCTGCATGCACTTAAAAAACACACACAAGTGTGTGTGGGTGTGTGCGTGTGGGTGTGAGTGGGTGCTTGTGCGGGCTTTTGCGTACACCTGTTGCTAAACGCATCCAATGTGTTTGGTTGCTGACGATTCACACTACTGTTGCCCACCACTAGGAAGCCATGGCAGTGCTCTTCACGACGATCCGATCAGTTTGCCATCCAAGGACGATGACCACCAGACAGCCAATCTTAGCATGTATCACGACCAACATCACCACCATCACCATCAGCAGCAGCACCACCAGCAGCACCATCACCAGCATCAGCACACCCAGCAGCAGATGCACAACGGTGCGCCACAGCACATGCTGGGAGATCGGCCACCGTCGACGCACATGCACCAGCAGATGCTAGACCGACCTCCCTCGCAGCCCATGCAGCAGCAGCATCAGCATCAGCCGCCACCACCGCCGATGTCACAACCAATGCAGCAGCAACACTCTATGTCGTCACACTACCCCAACCAGACAGCTATGTCGGTGTCAAGCTCCAACAGCCTGGGCAGACAGTCCATGATAGATGTAAGAGCGCTACTAAGCTGTCTTCGTGTTCAAATGCCAATAGAATAGTATGTCACACTGAGCTACGACTGCAGGGAGCGTAGCCGCCATCGTTGAAATTTGTTTTGCACAGTCATAAAGTGTGACGGAGGACTGGTTGATTTGTATGAACAGCTCTGCAATATCTGAAGTATGCAGCCATGTACTTTCCAGCTCTGGAGCTTATCCAGGATTGGATTTGAACTTTACACGATAAACTCTCCGTAAATAGTACCTGGTGGAGAAACTTCTACAAAGGTTGAACTTCTAGAGAACCAAGCTGCACGCAGTAGCGAGCTAGGATAAAATAAGTGATAATAAGCTTGTCCTGTACCCGTATGCCCTTGTCCTGTACCCTTATGCCCTTGTCCTGTACCCTTATGCCCTTGTCCTGTACCCTTATGCCCTTGTCCTGTACCCTTATGCCCTTGTCCTGTACCCGTATGCCCTTGTCCATCTGGTGTGTATGTGTACAGAGAGGTGCACCGCCACCACCACACGGCTCATCCCTGCCCCCGCACATGCAGTCCACTGCCCCGCCGCAGCCAGGCAACCTGCCTCCCGGCCCACCCATCACGCCCGGAATGGCCGTGTACTTTCCCAGCGGCCCGTCAGCGGGCGGACAGAACGGACCAGCCATGCCTGGTTATGCATTGTATCCGGGTAACCTCTACTCCCCGTCGGCATTTGGTAAGCATTGACACATGCAGTAACAAACACATTGATACACAGTTGTTTTAAATGTGCTCAGTGACCGCTGGCTGTGATCAATTACTCCTTACATGTTGTGCTGTTACGGTCTTGCTCTATGCATGTCTACAAGCTCATGTGGAGTAAAGGCACCACCTGTCTTATGAGGCCGGCGGTCATTTCACGACCTAAACCGTGCTCAAAATCTCTACATCATAGCCTGACTCAAAATCTCTACATCATAGCCTGACTCAAAATCTCTACATCATAGCCTGACTCAAAATCTCTACATCATAGCCTGACTCAAAATCTCTACATCATAGCCTGACTCAATCTCTACATTCTAGCCTTCTCCCGTACTGGTTGATTTTCTTCTCATGCCATGAGGTGTTGTCTATAATAATAATAATAATAATAATAATAATAATCAACGCAATAAATAGAGTAAGCTGCGCACTCAGTACAAACACCATAAGCAAAACTCTGATGAGATGGCGACGAAAACGTTTAGGACCAAGCTTCTTTATTTACATGAAAACAAGTTTTGCTTATGGTGTTTGTACTGAGTGCGCAGCTTACTCTATTTATTGCGTTGATTACATTTTTATCTCCACGGAAGCTTTTTAATAATAATAATAATAATAATAATGACTGGTTTGAGGGAAAGAGACAAACGGGAAAAGTCTGAAGAAAAAATTGACTGTCACCACCAGGACTCGAACCAGGGACCCTCGCTTGTAGCCAGCGATGCTCTAACCACTGAGCTATGGTGTAGTCGTCATCCCAGCAGAGGCCGTTCAACATTTTCTTCAGACTTCGTAACTCACACTTCCTGTGAATCCACACAGGCGGGTGGGACGCAGCCCTCACTGTAACCCACACACTTCACGTACAAACTAGCACGCGGGGAGCCCCAAGTCATAAAATATTGACTGGTTTGAGGGAAAGAGACAAACGGGAAAAGTCTGAAGAAAATATAATAATAATAATAATAGCCGGTGTAGAACGACTACAGTCTACATCTGTGCAAGGACCTTGGATCCTGTACACAGTGGGATAGCTGCTACTACATGGGCTTCACTGTGTTACTGAGTGCTGACCCGGTACATGTACACGTAGTCCAGTCAGAACCAGCTCCAGCTAGACATGGGGACACAGTGTGTACAGTAAATTCATTCATCTTGGGCACCCTGTAAGAAGACCTTAGGGTCTGTTGGGAATGCCCAAGTAAAATAATCATGTACAGTACAATACAATACCCGACACAGGCTCTGTTCTACAGGATACACACATACTTTGTACATACTGCCCTGTCGCACACAACAGCTTATCGATTCAACAACCGAGGGACCCAGAGATGAGGCTCACACCGTGTGCTAGCCATGGTTCTAATTAAATCTACGCACCCGGTATTTCTGGCTGTGCTGCTGTGCCGATTTCAGCTGTCTAATCCACTCACTTACGTTTGCGTGTACGTTCCAATTGTCTTCCGCACAGCATTACGCTCGCCAGCCTCGTTCTCCATCACGCCAGGGCACGGCACTGAGTCCATCTTCACGTTCCCACCGCCTGGCAGCGGTCCTCCGCCGTCGGGTCTGTCGCTCGCCCCAGGGCAGCCGCTGACACCCATCCTGGTCATGGACCCATCTTGTAAGTCCCGGCGGACAGTTCCCTGTTAGGTGCAGATAGTAGAGCAGCAGATCTCTAAGTCACCGTGCTCTCAGTATTCTTTCACTGTCATGCTGGTGGTAATGGCCATCATTGGTAATTAGCGATGTCATGGCGATGTCATAGTGATGTCATCAGTACATCATTGCTGTGACAGCATGTGACACTATCAGCATGTGACTCTACAACAGCACATATGCCAGGATAGTATCCACACACATATTCAGTGCACACACGTATACAATGGATATGCTGCATCCCTTTTAGAGACAACACTTTGGAGTTTGTAATTGCCTGGGCTATAAACTACAGGTTGGAGCATTGGCCCACAGTTCAGAAGTACAAGTGTAGCTTACACCGTGGACGTACCGGTGGTATGTTCAGTACTGCTGATTTCAGTCACTCACTTCAAGAACAGAGTAACACGTAGAACTATAGCTACATTGTATTCGGGAAGGGCTCCATGTTTCAAAACAACCCATCAGGCTTGTTCAAGTGTTACGTTGTCTTACGAGTACTCTTGCCATTGTATGTGTGTGTGTGTGTGTGTGTGTGTGTGTGTGTGTGTGTGTGTGTGCGCGTGTGCGTGTGTGCGTGCGTGTGTCCATACATGCTACAGCAAGTGCGTTTGCTGGAGGGCCGAATGTGTCGCAGGCAGTGGATATGAGCGGTGGTGGCAGCAGTGCAAGTCAACCTGCATTCCCACCACCAGGCACTGGCATGTCGCCGTACTCACACCCGGCCAAGAAACCGCCCCCGTCAATGCCTGGAATCGCCATGCCCATGAACAAGCCACACCATGCTGGTGGCAGTGGCCATCATTGGTAATTAGCGATGTCATAGTGATGTCATGAGTACATCATTGCTAGTATGGCTATCATTGACAAACAGTGATGCTAGCCAAGGATCACACCAGGATGGTAGTAATGATCATTGCTGAGAACTAATGACTGCAGCGTGATGCTACTGATGGACCACAACACTACACTACAACAGCTGGTTATACTGATGATTTTGTCCCGTGCTGCCAAATCACTGCCCAGCACGCCCCAGGTTACTCATCAACACACATAATAATGAACATTGTCAACACAGACAGCTTCTGATATCACCAGCACATTTGACTATTCCACTCACGTTTCAAAAGCACTGCATTGTTATCTTGAAGAATTTGACCACAAAGTTACATGTCAAGCATACTTGTTTTCACACTCGAACTAATACCAAGTGATCACGATCATAATCATGATGTTGAGAGTTACAAACCTTGCCATTTGCAAGCAGTACGTTACGGCGAAAAAAAATTTATTTCTTGCCTTTCGACGTGCACTGGGTGAGGCGCCAGACCGACCCCTTGCAAGGCAGCACTGTGATTATTATGATGCTGACTGAGAAGGCCGAAGAGGCAGTACGGCTGGCCCTTGAGTACAATGTCCGGCCACCCGGCCAAGTTTGGACACAGTTCTGCATGTCCGGTATTGCTACCCATCGAAAGCATTTCTGACGGATCGCTCTCACACACACTTCCTGCGTTGCATAGCATTTGAACAAGATAATTATCTCCAAACGTCTACACGTAATCAATACCTATTGCATTTAAAAAAATATTTATAGAATTTTGAAAGCTGCTTCCAGTCTTCCCACAATATCTAAAAGCTGTTTTGGCACACGGCATGCTTGAATAGCGTCATGACAAAGATTCATTGTGCCTCTGTGTGTGTGTGTGTGTGTGTGTGTGTGCGCGCGCAAGATTTGACGAGGCACCAGAAGTCCTGCCAATGACGGTGCCCTCCAAACTCTGGCCCCCTCCGGGATTGACATTGCCCAGTGGGCAGTCATGCTATAGTAGTAGTAGTAGTAGTAGTAGTAGTAGTAGTAGTAGTAGTAGTAGTAGTAGTAGTAGTAGTAGTAGTAGTAGTAGTAGTAGTAGTAGTAGTAGTAGTGTGTGTGTGTGTGTGTGTGTGTGTGTGTGTGTGTGTGTGTGTGTGTGTGTGTGTGTGCGTGTGTGTGTGTGTGTGTGTGTGTGTGAGAGAGAGAGAGAGAGAGAGAGAGAGAGAGAGAGAGAGGCCACGAATTCTTAGGTCGGAGACAACGCCATCCTTCCAGCGCTTGCGAGGCCGACCTAAGAGTTCATGGCCTCACCAAGGAATGGTATCCTATTGCCGGTGAGTCCTGCGCTGAATGGCGGGCTATGTACGCCGAGCCTGTGGAGAATGTGCCTCAGCCTGACCCAGTGGTATGTGCGGATTGCAATCGGTCATCCTCGCGCCCTGGAGATCGTGCTCGCCACAAATGTTTGGTTGAGCGGGCCAAGCGGACTGCTGAGCAGCGAGGGGCTTGTCACTGTGGAGATTGTGGGCGTTGGTTTCGAAGCAAGGGTGGTCTAGCTGCTCACCGCTGTTCCGCACCTCAGCCAGGCACCCGAGCCCCGGCAAGTCTATGTACAGGATGCCTGCTGTGCTGCGCACTGTGCTGTGTGTGCCCACTGCTTTCGGACTGCGCAAGGCCGCGGTCGTCACCGGTGCTTGAGGACTGTCCCGCGCCCGACTGCCCAGCAGCGTAATTCGTTCAGTCATGTATGCGTGTGTTCTCGCCGGTTCCGTTTGCTCCACCATCTCCGGCGTCATCAGGCTGCGTGCTCCATCTTCCTCTCTGATGCCCCTCCGGGGCCCCACGTGACCCCTGTGGCAGTGGCTATACAGGACAGGACAGGACAGGTGTGTGTGTGTGTGTGTGTGTGTGTGTGTATAGACCAGATGTGCATTGGTGGTCAATTCATGTGGCTTCGCAGGTTGTGTGGATAGGACAGTTATCGGGCGCTAGTCTTGATCTGTCTCATTCAGATCTTGTCCAGTCTATCGTTGCTATAAGAGAAAATCTGTGGGTGCACATCCAGTGCATTTGCAGATTTGGGTGCATCTTTTGCGACGGGCGTATACAGGGTACATGGTGTGTGTGTGTGTGCGTGTGTGTGTGTGTGTGTTTACACACATACGTGTGTGTATGTGTGTGCCTGTGGATATGTGCGTGTATATGTGCGTGTTTGTGCATCACACGTTGATCTTCTCACCTCTTTTCGAAAAGTATGCACAATATAAAGTTATTAGAGAGTCAACGAAGTGAATGGAGGAGGGAACAGAGTTAGAGCTTTTTTCGTCTTTTTTCTTTGATTCATAGCCTGTCCGTTGCCCACTCCCAGCGGGTAAGGTGCAGGTGGGCGTTGACCTTTTCTTTGAACGTCTGCAGTCCTTTCCTTGTTGGCTGGTTCGGCAGAACGCACTGCGGGAGCTCCTGCTGCTGGTTCCAGACCTCCACAACAGTGTCAGGGAAGGACCGAAGGACATCATTCCGTGCTCTGAGCGGAAGAGTGTAAGTGAACTGAAACTGGTGTGAGGGATGCTTTTGTGTGCGTCGGCTATGGCGTTATGTGTTGGTCACTCGGGGTGGAAGAAGGGTGAGAATCATGTCTGGGCCAGTTGAAAAGTGGAGCTTGTACAGAAAGCAGAGTGCTCCGACCATTCTGCGGATGTCCAAGCTAGGGAGGTAGGCTCCATCACGGATTAGATGAAGGCCACGGCGTTGGATGGCAGTGAGGCGAGCCAGAGTGGTGGGTGCAGCGCTCATCCACACGAGCATGCCGTACTCCAAAACCGGGCGGACAAAGCCCTTGTAGATCACTCCACGGCACCTGGAGTCCAGCACTCGTGAGGCTTTCCGGAGGAAGCCGAGACTCTGCGAGCCTCGAATAGCCAATTGCCTGATATGAGCTGTGAAGGACAGGTGTTGTTCAAACAGCACACCCAGCAGCTTCAGCTGGTCGACTTCCGGAACAACCGTGCCCTGGAATACAATCGGTGGGACGACGACTGTGTTGCGATGGGAAATCAGGAGGGACTGAGACTTTGTAGGTTCAAACCTAATGTGCCAGGCCATTCCCTAGTCTGCCAGCGCATTTACAGCAATGCCGTGGAGATTGTCCAGGCCAACAAACACCACTTCCTAACGAAGTGTTTCAAGGTGGAATACAAGAATAGAATACGCCTTGGGAAGGTTTTGCCACCTCAATAGCTTCTACAAGTACAAAACCTTGTGTCACTTCACACACGTGTGTTATAATTATGTGCCAAGCCACATGGGTTCACCATAGCCAGTGCGTATCATTCATTATCCATACAAGGAAAGAGGGAAACTTCACTAGGGTGTGTGCAAACCTTAGCCCTCCAGAAAAAATAAGCCGTTAGACGAGTGAATTAATCATCCCAAAGATCTGGCGAGGAATGGCTTTTTTTTTTCTTTACAAAAAAACACACACCATTTGATGGCACAAAGCAGCAAGGCAGCGATGAGACATATGGAATGGCAGGAGTGGGGGGGGGGGGGGAGGCAGGGGCAGCTTGACCGACCATAGGGTCTCGGCTTCATTGCAACCCAAGCGCTCCACAAAAACAAAAGATGACAGAAAATACGCGGGGGGGGGGGGGGGGGGGGTAGATAACTGGGGATTACGGGGAAAAGTATGCACAATAAAAAGTTATCAGAGAGTCAACGAAGTGAATGGAGGAGGGAACAGAGTTAGAGCTTTTTTCGTCTTTTTTCTTTGATTCATAGCCTGTCCGTTGCCCACTCCCAGCGGGTAAGGCGCAGGTGGGCGTTGACCTTTTCTTTGAACGTCTGCAGTCCTTTCCTTGTTGGCTGGTTCAGCAGAACGCACTGCGGGAGCTGGTTCCAGACCTCCACAACAGCGTCAGGGAAGGACCGAAGGACATCATTCCGTGCCCTGGGCGGAAGAGTGGAAGTGAGCTAAAACTGGTGTGAGGGATGCTTTTGTGTGCGTCGGCTATGGCGTGATGTGTTGGTCGCTCGGGGTGGAAGAAGGGTGAGAAGCATGTCTGGGCCAGTTGAAAAGTGGAGCTTGTACCGAAAGCAGAGTGCTCCGACCATTCTGCGGATGTCCAAGCTAGGGAGGTAGGCTCCGTCACCGATTAGGTGAAGGCCACGGCGTTGGATGGCAGTGAGGCGAGCCAGAGGCCTCTACTCCCTGCCGTAATGAGCAGGTAATTGATCTAACAGCCTCCTCTCTCTTGCTCTCTCTCTCTTTTCTCTTTGTTTTTACCTCCCCTTCTTTCCTGATTTCCGCACAAAATACTTTTAAAAATCATATCATTTTTTCTTATCCAACTTTATAACAGCAATATATTTTTAACCAGAACACGCTAAAGTTCAGTTACAGTTGCATGCCAAATGTCGCCACCATCATCAAGCAACACAACAATAGTATCCTCCGCAGCGACCACCAGAATAAGACCAAGGATGTGAGAACCTGCAACTGCCGTGTCAAAAATGATTGCCCCTTGGAAGGAAACTGTCTATTGTAGCATCGAGCATTGTGTACAGGGCACATGTACCGTATTTTCCGGAGTATAGTGCGCACTTTAGATGTGTTATTTTAGGCCCTAAATCGCAGGTGCGCACTATGCTCCGAATATGAAATGCATGTACTTCAATGCAGATTGAAGTGCGCACCCCAATGAAGATTGGGGGTGCGCGTTATACAAAGGTGCACACTAACGTTATTCCGAAAAATACGGTAACCGGCAGCGACATGAAGGAGTACACTGGATTAACGGAAGGGACATTCAAGACGCGATTCAATGGTCATCAACATACTATTCGCCACAAGAAGCACGAGACCTCAACGAGACTGTCCAGACACATCTGGAGACTGAAGGATGAAAACAAACCTTACAGTATCAGGTGGTCCGTTGTGAGGAGAGCCGCACCATACTCTAACATCTCGAAGCGCTGCAACCTGTGTCTGGCCGAGAAGCTAGAGATTGCCTGGGCCGACAAGACCCGCTCCCTCAACAAGAGGTCAGAGCTTGTGTCCAAGTGTCGTCATGAAAACAAGTTCTACCTCTGTAACTACTTTGCCCGCAAGGTCAAGTGAATCTAGCTGGTAGTCCCGCTGCCTATTGTTTGTGTGTGTGTGTGTGTTTGTGTGTGTGTGTGTGTGTGTGTGTGTGTGTATGTGAGTGCGTGTGAGTGTGCGCGCATGTGTGAGTGTGTGTGTTTGTGTGCATGCGTGAGAAAGAGAGTGCGTGTGGGTGATTGGATAAGTGCGGGTGCAAGTACGTGTGCCGTAGGTGTGAGAATGAAAGGATGAGTATTGTGTGTGTGTGTGTGTGTGGTTGTGTGTGTGTGTGTGTGTGTGTGTATGTGTGTGAGAGAGAATGTTTGTGTGAGATTTGGAGAATGTGTGTGTGTGTATGTAAGATTTAGAGAATGTGTGTGTGTGAGATTTGGAGAATGTGTGTGTGTGGTGTGTGTGTGTGTGTGTGTGAGATATAGAGAATGAATGTGTGTGTGCGTGTGTGTGAGAGAGAGAGAGAGAGAGAGAGAGAGAGAGAGAGAGAGAGATTTAGAGAATGTGTGTATGGACGCACGTGTGAGTGTATGTGTATGTGAGAAAAGGGAGAGAGTGTGGGTGTATGTTTGTGTAGTGGTGTGGGCATGTGTGGATTTGGCATTTGTCTCCAGCTCTATTCTATATCATTCACGCAGGAACTACTGCTGCATAGCCCCAAGTCTGAAGACTTGGCAACTTCATGCCTGCACCTGACTCTTGCGCTATGATACGCGTCGCCTATGACACCCCAGGGGCGGATCCAGGATTTTTCCAAGGGGGGTTCAGTTTTCTTC